GAAAAAGAAAAGAAAAGCTTTGCACGCAAATCGAAGGGTCATAACATGAGAATTGAATTCTCATACAACATGAGAAAATATTTTCCCATATAGAGCTTATCGTTTCTTAAGCTACTTGAGATAACTTTATCTCCTGCTACTAAATCATAACCGTACAAAGATGGATCATTGGTGATAAAGGAAGGGAGAGAAAAAGAGAATCATAATCATTCAAAGATGAATCAATTAATATAAAGAAATAAATAAACAAAGTGATGTGGTTTTAGGGTGGTTGGAGATAAACTTATTTCAAATTGTCGGGGAAATATTTTTTCCATATAATATATAGAGATATGATCCGTTTACAAACTTTTTTTTGCAAATTACACTAGTACGATCGGTTGTACACTGCATGATTAAAGTATGACCGGTCGTACTTAGTGTAGTTTGTAACCAAAAAAGTTTGTAAATATAACATGCTCCTAATATATATATATATATATATATATATATATATATATATATATATATATATATATATATATATATATATATAGGGGAGGGTTCTTTTGACTCCAGAGTAAGACTTTTAAGTCTTACTCCAAATCTCAGCCGTTGATGGACGGAAATCAACGGTTGTCATTAATAGTATAATTAATAATTAATTAATTAATATAACTTCCTAAATTATAACCGTTGGATGGACGAAAATCAACAGTTAGGATGGAGAGTAAGACTTATAAGTCTTACTCTTGAGTCAAATGATCTCTCTCCATATATATATATATATATTGGGTTCGCTTTTTCTGCAGACACTGCAGATAAGTTATCTGCAGTAAGCCCAATACGACATCACTTTGGGCAGAAATCATGATATTTTTGTTATTTTATTTTATTTCAGGATTATTCTAGTCTTTATAATTATAATTTTTTAATATTTTAATCTCAAAACGATGTCGTTTTGAGAGTAAATGCAGATAACTTATTTGCAGTAACTACAGAAATAGTTTTATGATATATATATATATATATATATATATATATATATATATATATATATATATTACACCAGTTTAAGTTACACTCTCAATCTTGGCCATTGATCTCACTTATATCTAAGGGCTCTAATTTTTTAGTAATATGAGTCATTGGATACAAGTGGATCAATGATCAAGATTGAATTTATATATATATATATATAGTATGATCATTTTACACCAGTGTAAGTTACATTCTCAATCTTGTCCGTTTATCTCACTTATATCTAAGGGTTCTAATTTTTTAGTAATGTTAGCCATTGGATACAAGTGAATCAATGATTAAGATTGAGTGTAAGACTTCTAACTCTTACATCGGTGTCAGAATATCCTGCCCTATATATATATATATATATATATATATATATGAGATTACTATTACTTAATTTTGGATGGATATTTCACATTACACATATTAGTTGATAAGTGCCACAAACAATCATGATTATCTCTCGGGGCAAGCTCCCTTGAGTTGCACATACATAAATTTGTCATGTCGCAGTTACGCACCTGTGTGTATAACTAGCTGTATTAGTTAGATAAAATATTAGTAAATAATAAGTATGGTAATATATTTTTTTAATTGCAAATTTATTTTCCAAGACTAACAACTCAACCATAATGAGTAAAAAGGAATGACTAACGGGTAAAAAGAGAGAGTAAAAATCCAAGATTTAATAAATATTTATTTGGGTTTAAATTATAAAACAATTATAGGAATATTTTTTGAACCATTAAGTATAATTTGTTTTAAACTTAATTGTAATTAATTATTGAATTCACAGAAAATTTTCATCAATGATTAATTATTAATAAATATTGATTGGAAATTATTAATATATTTTTTAAAAAAAATTAGGTTCATCAATTATCAAATTATTAATATAATAATTAATACTTGTAATAATATATTAATTAATGATTTTAATTATTTACTATTTAAAGTTAATGACTATAAGGATATGAGACTTTTATAGAAAGAAGAGTAATATTATTTTTTCATTATTTTTAATAAAAAGAAATTGGCCAACCAATTCGAGATCGTCACTCTCAAATTGTGCCATGTGGTGCAATTGCCCCATTTTTTATTTTTTATTTTCAAAAAGTAAGAAAAAAGAATGTCAAGGGAGGGGGTGCATTATTAACTACCGTAATGGTAAATAATTTGTACACACACCCTAAAGTAGTGTTTTGCAAGAAGAAAACCAATATTCGATCAAAACTTGCTTCTTAAAGAGGCTGTAGATCATATAGCAAACTTCTGTAGATCATATAACAAACTTCATCCCTCCTAAGCAATAAAACTTTGGTGACAGAGTAATTTGGAACTAATAAAGCGATGGATCGATGGATAATTCAACTTAAAATCTACCTCCTTCTATCTGGAAAAAAACTTAAATAATACAAATTCTAAATGGCATCTAGCTTGGAAATGGGACGGATCACCTCAACACATTTAGTCTTTCTTATGGCTTTTATTGGGGGACATTTTAATTACGAATGAAAATAGGGTGAGAAGACATGTCCTCTACTAACCTGTGAAACAGGGACACACCTTTTAGGGGGACACCGACACGTTCGGACACGCGTCCGACACGTAGTTGACTTTTTAGGACACGTTGACTAGTGGGACACGCGAATTTGACCGTATCCCACACGCGATCAACGTAAATGAACACGTTTTGGGACACGTTTTGCATTTTTTTTGTAAAAAAGAAAAATTACAAATAAAAAAATACAAAATATTTAATAAAAATCAGAAAGTCTGAACCCTATTCTCCTCCGATCCTCTCTCACGCCGGAGACTTTCTTCTTCGTTGTCGGTGGAGGAAAGTAAAGAGAAGGAGGTCACCAAGGAAAAGACAAGCATGTTCTCTGATTCTGCAGTTGTGACCGCTGGCGCTGTTCATGATGCAGTTTGAAGGCTACAATATTTTTCTGAATTTTAATGACCAAGATACCCGTTACACCTTCACAGGTACTCTCTATAACTCTTTGTGTCTCAAGAGAATCAAGACATTCTTTAGAGATGATGATAAGCTGCTACTTCAGCGTAGCGACCAAATCTCACCCTCTATTCTTAAAGCAATTGAAGATTCTAGGGTTTCTATTGTTGTTCTCTCTGAAAACTATATTATATATTAAATATAATATATATTATATGTATTAAATATGTATTAAATATAAATTATATTATATATTAAAAATTTTATTTAATATCAAAACGTGTCTTAACGTGTTCAAATATGACATTTTTTAAAATTAACGTGTCGGCGTGTCGTATCGTGTTGTGTCCCGTGTCCGTGTCCGTGGATGATTGCTACTAACCTCTGTCCTAGGTGGTAGGAAAATCTCGAGATTGCGATCCACGTTTTTTGATACTGTTCTTGGTCTTAGAAAGATTGACGGTAAGTTCTTCCTCGCTAGGAATGTGCTATTTTGTTCTCCACGTTCTTCAGAGAGTGGCTTCACTCAAATCTAGCCTAGCCCATTAGGGTGTACTAGAATCTTTCAACCATCATACCCTTTTTATCTTTCTGATGACAATTATTATTATTTTTTCATTTAACCGGGGATGAGCGGACAATGAAAAATGGTCGTTGATGGTGGAGGATAAGTAGCTATGGGTACAGTGATTGATGATAGAGTTAATTTTATTTTAAAGTTAATAAATATATTTAATTGATTTAATATTATAGTGTAAAATGGATAAAAAAAATTTTTATACAAAATGGATAATTATTTTAATTGAAAGTACAATGTAGTTTTTTGAAAAAGCACCTTATTATACAGGACGATATCATGTAATTTGCCTAGATAGTTACGTGCATGGTGGCACCAGTGAGTCATCATGTCCAATTTGACTAGGCTTATAAATAAATTGACAACCTTAATTTATTTAGTATCCTTGGTGGCCTTATACGTATTATTTTTGAAAAAAATTCAAACTAATTTCGTTTCCTTTTTTCCTTGCAAAACAATTATAAATATAACAAGTGCAAAGTTTTCACCAACACCATCTGGGGAGGGGCGTAAGTACTGTAATCATTGGACTCGCACCCGAACTCTGGATTAGTTCCATAGACAGCTCAAAGAGTCGAACCCGTGGGGATACCGGGGGTTCTGATTCGCCTTAAAGAGATAATTAGGATCAGTGTAAAAAAAAAAGAAGGGCAAAGTTTTAACTGTTGTTCTGTCTGAAAGACAGAGATGTCCAGCCGGTGGCTGGTATATTTTATGTAGGATCTATGTGCCCTCTCTCAGGTATATGAATGAGATACCTATGATGGTAGGCAGTTCACTGTGCACAATAATAATCGACATAGTCAAGACGTGAGGTGTGTGCGCAGTGATAAGCTAAAAGATAAGGGTTTTGAGAGTGTGTACTTTATTGATTTAACTCCTTATTTATAGAAGAGTTACCTAATAGGAGTGTACTTCTGGGCCCCTTAGGAATATTTTGAATGCCCAAGTTCAACTGCTTAGCTGTTTGGGATAAGATTGTCATCAATAGAATATTCTCTTCCTTTTGTGATGTCTTTCATTGACCCTTCTAGAATATGAACCTTTGTCAAGTCCATAACAACTATAGTGACAATAGAAATGGAATAAAATGAGATAGCATAAAATAAAACGGAATGAGATGCAATAAAATTAAAATAATATCTTTATTTAGATATTTAATTTATGATAGAATAAACTCTCCATTCTATTTAATTCAAACCATTCCAATAATAACACTATTGTTATTCTTTTTTCTTTTTTTTTTTGTAAATATTGTTATTCTTTTTTATTTCAATCAATTCATATCCTAAATAAATAAGCTCTCACTCGCTCCAACCATTTACTAAAATCAAATCAAAGAAAATATCACTCTCACTTTCTCTTCAACTTGTCTGTTTTCAAGATTGCGCTGTGCATGTGTGGATCACAAAAGCATTGAACAAGTGAAGTAAAGACTAGCTCCCTTGATCGGAAATAACCATGGCTGGCGGAGGCTTTACCACCACCGGCGGCAGCGGCGGGAAAGATTTTGAAGCAAAAATAACTCCGATCGTCATCATTTCATGCATAATGGCTGCCACCGGAGGCCTTATGTTTGGATATGACGTCGGCGTTTCAGGTAATGGTTTCTTCTTTCATATACATAACAAGATGAAATCTTTGCATGTTTTCTTGAAGACAAGGATGATCTAGCTAGAACAAAAAGCTTTCGATCTTTAATTGATTTTCTCGTAGCATTTGATGTATAAATAGAGGCCGAATATTTTTATCCATTTAATGAAAAAAAAAGAGTAAAAAAAAAAACTCAAGACGAGTTTTATATTCTCAAATATTTTAATCTTTTATTTGCTTTTATGTATGGATGATGAAATCTTCATATATAATCTATTTTTCTGAAATAATAGTCTTCCATTTGCGTTCACACCTTTTTACAGCGATCGTGATAAGTTAAGAACCACATAATCTGCTAGCATGTTCCCTTTTCTGCTAGTAGGCCACCATGTCTATGTCCTTTTAGTTTCTTTTTTGTCCTTTGGATCACTTCATACGTAACCAATTTATCATCAAGTAAAATGCTAGTTTTCACGAGAAGATATTCGAAAAAATTTACGAATTATGACGTGGTTGGTTGGGAGGACGTGATGTGTGTGTGAATTTATTTTCAAAACCATTATTTACCTTACCACTCATATGTTCGTATGCACTTTTACTTTAGTAGTCAACTTAATGAGACTCTTGTCGTGATGAAATAGAAGTGTTGTAGCATTAGTTAAATCCATGGCTTTTTTTTTTTTAATTAGGTTATATTTACAATATTTTTCTTATAAGTATGAGTTTAATGTTTTTTATATTGTATGAGAAAAATTTATTTCCTACACACATATAAAAGTTAATGGTAGAATAAGAAAGAGAAAAAAATATATACTAGCTCCATACACTTTTACGTGTGTAATAGGAAATAAATTAATCGTGTATAACATGAAAAATAATAAACCCTATAAGTAGTTTATTTTTATTTAATTTAAATTAAAGTAATGGCTTCCATTCAATATTATTTATTAGATTTTCATTCAATATTAATAGTAAAAATGATTATCAAGTTATTATTATTTTATTTTTATTGACGGGGGATGTGGGTTTGAATCAGGTGGTGTGACATCCATGCCACAATTCTTGAAGAAGTTCTTTCCAGAAGTGTTTAGAAAGACAGTGGAAGAGGAAGGTGTAAACAGCAACTACTGCAAATACGACAATGAAGGGCTGCAGCTGTTCACGTCGTCTCTGTACCTTGCGGGTTTAACGGCAACCTTCTTCGCGTCGTATACCACTCGAAGGTTGGGTAGAAGACTCACCATGTTAATAGCAGGCTTATTCTTCATCGGTGGAGTTACCTTTAATGCTGCTGCTCAAAACCTTGCCATGCTCATCATTGGCAGGATCTTACTTGGTTGTGGTGTTGGTTTTGCAAACCAGGTTAGGCTTTTTTTTTTTCTTCTTTTTCCCACTACATTATAACATTCTCAATCATACCGGTTGAGATATATAGTCCCACATTGGTTATATGTGCAACTAATGTGGAGTTTATAAGGCCTTGAGCACTCCCACACTTTGAATTAACTTTTGGGGTGGTGTATTCCAAAGTTCTTTACAATACCAAAATAATATTCATTCGATCAATTAAGATACAAACAAAAGATATGTTTAAAATAAGTTTGTACTTCAACTAGTATATAGCATCGATAAGTAACTTGTTTGAGATTACATATGGTAATATATATTTTTTTAATTAAACACATATGGTGATAATTAACTTATAGTATTTATTATTTTATATATGCATTGATTAGCGTACGTGTGATTTTATTATTGTATTTCTTTTTAATATTATTTTTTGCTTTAATAAAAGAGAAAATAAATATATAGGATAATTATTGGAAGTAATTAAAATGCCACTGTTGTCCTTTTTCATTGACTGTTCTATATGTGATTGACACGTATATGATAAGATATTTTAGGTCACGTTTAGGATTATTCGTATTTGTCCAACAAATGTCCTTTCATAATTTGCTGAACAGAATCAAGGTTTTGTTTTCTATGGAGTTTAAAAGCATATTCTAATTAATTGGACACTCTCTTGTATACTTTTACCAATTTGATGTATGGTTGTTACCTGTTTTAGTAACAGTAAGTAAAATGTTACTTTTCACCGAGTTTTTTAGTTAAATGTCACCTGAACAGTGTTATTTTTTAATCTGTCACGAAATAAGTTCGTTACCCGATGTAGCGAACTCGGTTTGCTGACGTATCACATTTTTAGTAGACACTAAGTTCGCTACACGAGGTAGCAAACTCCATACTTTTTTTTTTGACTTGGTACTTGTTATCCACTAGAAATGTGATATGTAAGTAAACTGAGTTCACTACACTGGGTAGGGAACTTGTTTCCCTGGCAGATTGGAAAATAATATTGTTCGTGTGACAATTAAATAAAAAAATTTGATGAACAGTGATATTTTGATCGGTGTTCCCTCTTTTACAAGTCAAAATTAGCTGACACAGATTCTCGTGTCCCTCGGTTGAATACAAAATTAGGTTTTTGTAGTTTTTACTAGGCGTGGCGTATGTATCTTTTATATAGAGAGAAGATGCATGGCCGACATACCTGACAAAAAATATAAATAATTTGATAAATAAAAAATCCAGGGAGAGCATTGTCATTTAGTAGACATATGAATGCCCCCGCAACAGTATTACGAATTACCACGCGCCAGGTGGAAAGCAAGTTTCTAATTTAAACTAAGATATTTCTGTGACAATTACACAGTTTCCTAGGCTAACCCAAAGTCTCCATCACCGGCTAGTTTCGTCAACTCCAGCGCACCTTTCCGGCATTAAGCTATATTTATTGAGATATTATTTTCTCACTCATGTTTGATACAAAGTGGATTAGTTCCACTTTTTTTCTTTCTCTTTTTTTTTTGGGTTATACTCACTTTTTTATGTATTGCATGAGATAATTTATCTCATGCAACGTGAAAAAACATTTCCCATATTTATTATGGGGTTTTCTTTTCATGTCACATAATAATATTTGTTAGAGAAAATATACTCTTATTGTGTAGAGGGTATTTTTCTTTCCTACACATACATCGATTTTCGTATTTTCTTTTTCTTTTTCTATAAGTGGTTGGATCCCACACATGATTATCTCTATAGCATAAAGGAGCTTATCTATTGTTGCATGAGATTAATAAAACCCTATTTGATAGGCCATAAACATAATAAATAATGAGATCCATTATTTATTAAAAAAATAAACAATTGGAAGAATAGCACGAAATTTGATATCTTATAAGATGATAAAATTATATCCTCTCACATGAAAAAATAATTGGGTTTTATAATTCTCGTTCAATATGAGAACTGAAATCTTCCTACACACCCTTTGATTTCTGTGCTGACATGGGTTCTATACATAATTTTTTTCTAACATATGTGTTTCACATATTTTTTGTCTCTACAACATAAGATTTCAGTAACTTAAAAATTATAAAACTCAACATAATTTCTCATTTACTATTTGAAGTTAATGGCACTTACGGAGATTACTTCGTGTTTTCTCTCATTTAATTACATGATTAAGAATCTCTTCGGAAAATTTATTTCTTGGTCCCCTCCCTTTTTTCTTCTTTCTCCTCTTTATTCTTTCTAGGCGGATTATAAAGGTCGGAAGTGCTGAATATTGTGTCTCAGCAAACTTTGAAAGTGCCAAATAAAACATAATTTATTCAATTTTGTTTCTGGTTCACGAATTCTATCTCTATCTTATCTTTTAGTCATTACTTGGACCTTAACTTTGACTCCTTAAGTAATATAATACAAACGATACAGTTAAGTTGATTCTGGTCTAATTTAATTTTAAATGGAAAGATTTAACCATTTGACTAATATTTTAATGATGTGAGAAGGCAAGTTCAGATTAGTAACAATTACCTTTTGGAACTGACTAATATTTTAAATTGACAATGACAGGCCGTGCCAGTTTTTCTTTCTGAGATCGCACCTTCAAGAATACGTGGAGCATTGAATATATTGTTCCAGCTCAATGTCACCTTTGGCATTCTCTTTGCTGAGCTAGTCAACTACGGCACCGACAAGTATGTTACTTGAGCGCTCCTCGTTGCATCCTTTTGTTTGATTTATTAGTTCATTAGAAATGGAAATGAATCAGATGAGCTGTGTGTTAATAAATTTAACATATATATAGAACAAATAACAGCCAGTGTAGCAGAGGCAGCAAAATGGGTCGACTCGTTCCGATTCGTCATCAACTCGACAAAAATGAGTTAGCCTGTCTTGTCCCACATTTCGATATGGGTTAAAAATCTCAACCTATCCCATTTTATGGTGGGTTGGCAGATTGACGGGTCAACCCGTCTAAAAAATAAAATAAAATAAAATTATTTTATTAATTTTAAAATATTTTTTATTTTCATTTCACAATCTCTTTAATTTTTTACCAATCTCAAATCTAAATGGATACTAATATAAAGTCAAATATTTTTTAAAAACTTATTTTTGCCTCAATATATGGATAACTTTTATAATAAATAAAGTTTTTCTTCTTTATTTTTTTAGGGAGGTACTAAGATAAAAAAAAATTCATATCACAAAAATTTAGTGACAAATAAAAACTACTTATTAGTAAAAAAGAAAAAAACTGACTAGCGTACCCGCCCCGATCCACCGTCAACCCGTTTTGACCCACAACTAAGCAGGGCAGATTGAGGTGGATTGGTGAGTTGAAAAGTATAATCCAACTCGCCTCATTTTGGCGGGTTGGCAGGTTGACCCGTCGGGTTCAACCCAAATTGCCACCTCTACAGTGCAGAAGCTTAACTAGTTTCCCCTGTGTTGGCATTATTCAAGCACAGGTGAAAGCATGACTACTAGAATTAAATTAATGACTATAGCTGTTGGGACGGACTCAGTCCCTCAATCTCGGCTAAGAAGCTTTTATGAAAGTTAAATGTTGAGTTCGTAGCTCGGCACAATCAGAAATTGGCCTGAGTCATCAGGTTGGCCAACGCAGCAAAAACAGAAAGGAAAATGAGATAGGGAGAGACAGATAAATAAACACAGCAAATTTTTTACGTGAAAAAATCTTCTCCAATGTAAAGAAGTAAAAACTCACAGGATACTAGTCTAGAATCAAACTTCCACTATGTAAATAATATTTTACAAAATATCAAACTCCACCAACAAATGGTAGTACACTCAAACCTCATCTACAATGGTAGTATTATCTCAAACTTCCTTAAGAAGGTTTAACACTCAAGCTTCTCCCTAGAGTTGCTCTCAAAATTATCTCAAATCGTCTAACAAGCCAACCTCTCCTCCAACTCTCAACTAATGCTTATATGGGGGAGGAGAGAAAGTTCTAGAAAACTAGGATTTTTTAAATCCCTCAATGGGCCTGGGGCATTGAAGGAGGAATAGCCCAACAATATGAGGGTGGTGCTGGTCAAAATTATCGAAGTTGATGACCTAGAAAACCAACTAAATTATGACCAAATCTGTGACTTCTTTGACACATCCCAACACAAGTGTTTGTTTATGGCCATAGAACGAAGGCTTCCCTGTTATCAATTATTTTATCCTGGTGATAGAGATGTCTAGTCGATGACTGGTATGTTTATGTTGGATCTATCTAGATGTCCTTTCTCAGGTACCTATAGCGGATACCTTAGAGAATAGCGAATCAATGTGCACTATAATAATAACGACACAGTCAAATGGTGAGATGTGTGCACAGTGACCGCGCAGAGAGAGAGTTAACCCTCTATTTATAGAGAGGTTACCTGTCATGAGTGAATTTCTAGGCCTCTCTTAGAAATATTGGGGTTCCAGTTCATGATTCATAGCTGTCATACTATGATTCATATATTTAAGGAATCTTTTCTTAATTTTTCCTTTAGTCGTTAGCCCTTTCAGAATATGGACCTTTGTCAGATCCATAACAATTATAATAATAAATATTTGTAATATTTTTTATATAATGTCAATTAATTTTAAAAATATAAAATTATGAAAATGTAACTGAAATTAAAGGGAAAAAAATTCTAACGACTAAGGAAAAATACGAACTCACGCAGCAGCCCAAGTAAACTCTTGGTTTATCTTATCGCAACCCATCTGGGTAAAGGTCCATATTGTCCAGGCCCAGAAATGTGACTTCCGTAATGATTGATCAAATAGGACATGAGAATGTTGCTTTCAAAACAATTAATCAATGTTATTTTGGCAATGGATTATAAAGAAATCCTGTAATCTATGATTAAAAAAATAAAATAAATACAAGGTACTTGGTTTTGAGGCAAAATAATGGGAAAAGTGTTTTTCATTCTAGATGATACAACTTATATCCTTTCACTCTTACAAAGGGTGAGACCCGCACCTTTTATTTTTTTTGTCCACACTCTCTCCTCATTTATGTATCTTTTTCTCTTACTTAAAATAACATAAATTTACATTCTTTAAAATAACACACACTTTACCCCAGAATAATTGCCAATATGTTTTAGACAAAATGAATTCTGAATCTTCTGCCATTTATTTTGTTTTGATTTTACCTTGGACTATTATTGTTCATTGTTGCTGATGCTGACCATCCATTGTTGATGTTGTGTCCCGCAAGAACAGAATCAAAGGTGGGTGGGGTTGGAGGGTATCTCTGGGTTTGGCTGGTATCCCAGCACTGCTCCTTACCTTGGGAGCTTCATTGGTGGTGGACACCCCAAACAGTCTCATTGAGCGTGGTCGCTTTGAAGAAGGAAAATCTGTTCTGAGAAAGATTCGTGGCACTGACAACATTGAACCTGAATTCTTGGAACTTGTTGAGGCAAGTCGTGTGGCTAATGAAGTGAAACACCCTTTCAGGAATATCCTCAAACGCAGGAACCGACCCCAACTTGTCATTTCCATTGCCCTCCAGGTCACTGCTATGTTCTGTTAACATTTTTTTACATACATGAAACAAAATGCTAGTTGAATCAGTATGCTCAATTGAAATTTACTGATTGATCTTATTGTTCCATTTGGGTGTTCAAAAAAACAGATTTTTCAGCAATTCACTGGCATCAATGCCATCATGTTTTATGCTCCAGTTCTTTTCAACACATTGGGATTCAAGAATGATGCTTCCCTCTACTCTGCTGTGATTACTGGTGCTGTTAACGTCCTCGCAACTATGGTCTCAATCTATTCAGTGGACAAACTTGGACGTCGAATGCTGTTATTGGAAGCTGGTGTTCAGATGTTCTTTTCTCAAATGGTGGTAGCGGTTATACTAGGATTCAAGGTTAAAGACCATTCTGAGGATCTCTCAAAGGGTTTTGCAGCGTTGGTGGTTGTTATGGTGTGCATTTTTGTTTCTGCATTTGCATGGTCATGGGGTCCTCTTGGTTGGTTAATCCCTAGTGAGACATTCCCATTGGAGACTCGTTCAGCAGGGCAAAGTGTCACTGTCTGTGTCAACTTGCTCTTCACATTTGTCATTGCACAGGCCTTCCTCTCTATGCTTTGCCACTTCAAGTTTGGCATCTTCTTTTTCTTCTCTGGATGGGTCTTGATCATGTCCACCTTCGTGCTTTTCCTGGTCCCCGAGACCAAGAATGTCCCCATTGAAGAGATGACAGAGAGAGTGTGGAAGCAACATTGGTTGTGGAAGAGGTTTATTGAAGATGATTATGTTAAAGATGAGAAAGTAGCCAATGATAAAGGCTTTGATCCGGCTTCTCAGCTGTAAATTAGAGGAATCCTGGCCAATAGTTTGGTTTGATAAATAAGCATTTTAGGTTCTATGGAGTACATGGTTAGATTTGGTTATTACATCTAACCATGTTAGTGGCCTATACCTGTAATATTGTAATGCCACGGAAATTATCCTGTTTTGCGAGCCATGTAACATATACTATGTTCTTTTTCTTTTTTTTCTTTTTTTTTAAGAATAATGTAAGAGCTTAGTCCTAGCATATTATTTGTCTTTTGTTTAAATTGTTTTTGCAAGTTCGTTTCCTTAATTTGTAGTTTTTTTTTTCTCTTCCTGCAAACAAGGGATAGCACATGCAGAATAACATTTCTGATGCAATAGCTTCAGATTGAAGTGGAAAATATTGTAAAACTAACAAATAAATAAACCAGCATTAAGCTGGAGGCAAGCTTGGTGATCAAGAATGCAAGGAGGAGTCATGATGTATTACATGGCAGGCACCTAATATATATAATGGGTGTTAAAAGGAAAACAAGTTTAACCAATAAAAAGACCTTATTTGTATTTGAGAACTGCTCACCACCTGAATTGGATGCTTATAAATAATGATAATGTAGCTTTCAATTGGAGGTTGTATAAAGCGAGTGCTATATACTTAATGCTTCTGTCATGTGCAAAGCAATGTGATCACCAAAGGGAAACAATATATGGTGGTTGCCATTATGATGACAGTCACCAATTATTTTTTACAAATAAAAATACAACAATGGTCATCACGGTGCACCCACAAGTTTCTGTAGCAGCACAAACTCATACGATCTGCCCCAACATTCTTTCCTTTCAAGTCTCACAACCTTACAACTATACCCACAACCAAGACTACCAATTCTACAAATAGTAAGGATATTATATAGAAGATCATGGAATTATTATCATACCAATAATCAATATTTAATCAAATATTTACTTTCAATAAAAATACGAGCTGAATCAGTCCGACCCAGCATGCAAGTTTGAGGGAACAGTGGCCAAAGTGGCACTGTTGGAAAAAAAATATTAAAATGTCACGCCAACAGTAAATTTTGTCAAAATGTCACGTGGCATATTTTACTACACTGTGTAGCGAAATATGTGTGCAAATAATTTGCTACACGGTGTAGCGAAATATGCCGCGTCAGAATGCTCAGAACCAAAAATGTCACGTGTCAGGGAGAATTTCGCTAGCATTTTTGGTTCTGACGTGGCATATTTCGCTACACCGTGTAGCAAATTATTTGCACACATATTTCGCTACACAGTGTAGCGAAATATGCCACGTGACATTTTGACAAAATTTACTGTTGGCGTGGTATTTTAGTGTTTTTTTTTATCAACAGTGGCACTTTGGCCACTGGTCCCAAGTTTGACTCATATTTACTTTATCGTAATATGTCTCACTCACTTCTTTAAGTCACTAAATAATACTCAAAATTTCTTTTCAGTTTTCTCTGAGCAACTGAAGTTTTACTTTTATATGGATTTGGAGACATCCGAACAAAATCTCAATCCTAAAATTTTGTCTCACTTTATTGTAAATATAATTATAAAACTGGAAAAAAAATTGAAAACAGTTGAATTCATGGACTGCTGTGCAGTTATGTATTTTTATTTTTGGATCTATTTATCAGTTATTCGAATAGTTCGGTTCAAATATTATTAGACCAATTATAGGAGGCAGCTCTTTCAAAACTTTTTTCTCCCTTCTTAAAGCTCAAACTCAATATTTCTAGTTAACGGGAACAAATTTCTTACCACTTGATATATGCACAAAAAACCCATAACATATATTACCTCAATTATGTAAATTATAATTATCAGCTATTTCTATTAATTGAAATAAGATACCTTAAATAGTACAAAGCCAAAAAGTAGGAGTGCTTATTACTCAGAAACCCCACTACTAACCAAACTATCAACGCAATGAGATTAATCAGATTATGCTGACCACGCGTCGTTCAGAAAATTAATTGCAAAGAGGCTTTCATCAAACCAATTTATTAACAAAGAGACAGGGACCTATTAATTAGCTTTGGCATTCTTCAAGTTCTCCAACTTCCAATGCCCTCAAAGATAGGTAGTCAAAAGGCTCTATAAAGAGTAAAGACCCCAACCTCAGGAAAAGGAGACACAAAAAACAAGGAAAAGGAGGATCTCTAGAGCTTACAGCCATGGCTTTGGTAGAGAGAGCTGTGGTTCTGTTCATAGTGATGATAGCTGTTCAGGTTTCATATGCAGCGGTATACAAGGTTGGGGACTCTGCTGGCTGGACTACCCTTAACAATATAAACTACAGGAAGTGGGCTGCTCCCAAGAACTTCCAATTTGGTGACACTATCAGTAAGTCCAATTGCATGGTTTTTTTCATGTAATTATGTTGTTTTCTGTTCATTGTTAGCAGATATACGAGTTCAAACTTTTTTGGAAAATGGAGAAGTCCTTTTAATAGTCCTGAGCCCTCTTTTCAGAATGATAAGAAGACAAACAACAGTAGCACCATTTTACAATTTCATGATACCCTTTTCTAGCAATGTCCAACTTTTGTAGAAAACTAAAATTTCTCATTTTTTTGATTTTTTTGCCTCAATTGCCCCACCAATGCACTTCCATGGCGAGCATTTCTATTTTTAATCTTGCTACTCTTTGTTGTTAAGATAAAGTATGTGTTTAGGGAGGTCCCTACACAAGACTCCTTAATTTTTACTCGCCAACATAGATTTTTGTTTTCTTATGTTTTCTATTATTGTATGTAAGACTCATTTACACATCAGTTTCATGATGAAGTTGTAAACTAGCATGACCCACCACTTCCACTTGCATTAACCTTTTGTTCTCTGTTGCTCTGCACGAGCTCTTTTGGATACAAAGAAACAAAACAGCATGCAATGAGATTGTTGGTTGGCCTCTCACCTTGGCCACTTACAAATAATAGTATATTTAATAAACATTCAACTCAAAATCATTATAAAGCATGGTCCTTACTTAATTATGATTATTAATATAGAAAGAACTCAAATAGTCGGTGATTGTATTTTCAGTATTTGAATACAATGCCCAGTTCCATAATGTGATGCGAGTGACGCATGCCATGTACAAGTCATGCAATGGGTCATCCCCTATTGCCACCTTCACCACAGGCAATGACTCCATAAAGATAACCAATTATGGTCATCATTTCTTCTTCTGTGGCGTCCCTGGCCACTGCCAAGCAGGACAGAAGGTTGATATTAACGTGCTCAGGGTTTCTGCAGCGGCACCTACTCCATCAGCTTTGAACTCTCCTACAGTTCCAGTGGTCAATGTACCTGCACCTTCTCCTAGCAGTGCTAACTCATTGATTGCTCTAAAGGGAGCCTTTGGTATGATGGGTTTGACCATAGCAATCCTTGCTCTTGCTGTTTCTAGCTATGCTTAATAATACGGAAAATTTTCTTTGGTTTGTGGGCCTTTTTTATTTTCTTCTTGTATTGGAACTGATCAAGGGAATTTGTCTTATTCCCTCCCCTACACTACATCGTAGGCACGTTTGTAAACTATTTTGAATGACAAGAAAAACATATATTAGCTATATTACAATGTATTTTTCCTTTACATGTAGGATTTCTAGGAGTTATGGTTGGGTGAATTCATGAGAGTAGGTTGAAAGAAATAGAAATATGAACATCAAAATTCCTTCCTGTGGCAAATTTTATATTTTGCTGTGTCTCACTTAGTTGTCTTTGTGATACATATAGTGGGGGATTAATACAAGGCTGATATATCAGACAGTTTAAGGTCTTCTAAAGATGGAAACCATAAAAATTGGTGCACACAAGCTTATCTGTTATTATTGACCTTTCCTTCCCCCACACACAAAAAAAGAAAAGAAGAGAGAGTAAAGTTAGAGGATGAGTGCTTACAATTCTGATCTCAACACAGCTCCTTTTGTTGCAGTTGGAGCCTCGTGGGGTGCGTGCTCTGCAAATGATGGTTGTAGGTTGATGATATTGATAACTGGTTTATTTGACATTTGTACCAAGGCACGGGCACCCCTAAACTCTAGAGGAAATATATGAAAGGATGACAAAAATGAATAACTTTAGCCATTCCATTTAAGATTTGGGCATTGATTTTTGGTTTCCAAAAACAATATTATAATATTTAATTATTTAATATTTGAATTTAATTTTGTTTCACGGTCAAAATAAAACAATACATTATCATCCAATTTAATCAAATATCAAAAACAAGATTAGAAATAAATATATTAAAAATGCCATTGAATGAGTACATATCCATAAATAAGAAGAAGAAAAAACAAAATTACAAATAAATTAATTAAAAAAATCACTAAAGTAATTTGATCTTAAAGAATTGGAAGCTAGAGAACACTACGAATGTTAGCCGGAATGTAGCATTATTTTTATGAATAAAAATATGACAATAAGTTGCAGGATCGCTCCCATTGGATGCTTCTGCCAAGTCACCTTACGAGGCGAATACTTGAAGTTTACGATGAGGATAGCTTAATCAAGTGTCTTTATTTTATCTCTGATTTTTTATTTAATTATTTTTTTGGTTAGAAAGATGTCCAAGACCTGTTGAATTGTGGGGGGGGGGGGGGGGGGGGGGGGAGGGAGACCCTCAATTTCACAACGTTTTCTGAGAAGAATCAGTTGCTGAGAGCTCACTGTACATGTCAGATATCGCTTTTGAGAAGCATTCCTTGGCTTGAGGCCTCTTAACCTGAAATGATATTACGAATTATGATGTGGTTCGTTGGGAGGACATGATGTGTGCGTGAATTTATTTTCAAAACCATTATTATTCGTATGACATTTGTTAAAAACATAGCATTAGTTAAAAAAGTAACATTTCTATAACTTATGACTCTGAGTAAAAGATATGACTTTGCATTAATAAAAAAAATAAAAAATACAGTGGCTCACAACCATTACTCAGGTAATTTATACAGAAGTATAGGTAAGTTGAGAGAATTTCGAAATGTTATGAATTAAGAACAATCAGGAAATCCCTTGAACTAAGTGCTTTAGCCTCCCTCTGTATACTCTGTTTTTTTTCTCTCTGTTTGACTTTTATAGTGGGAGTTGCACCTCAAAACCCCTTCAACTAAGGGTGAGCGTGAGGTGTATACAAAACATGTAAAAGTTTTGTTAATTTTTAATTACTTTCATTTAAAAATAAATATAAAAAATATAAAAAATGTGTTAAAACTTATGATTTTTTTTTTTTTTTAAAAAAAAAAGTAACCTACGAATATTTAAATTAATATGTATATAACGTTATTGAATGAATAATATGCGAAGGTAAGTGGTCAATCAAATTTAAAATTCAAAAAGCGAAATAATTAATTGCAATTGCCTCTTTCCCCTCATAAATGTTAGCAACCGGTAATCGCCATTCATTTTCATTTAATAACGTTATTCTTTACGTGGCCTTTAGTGATAGAGGGTTCAGAAACAATGTTTAAATATAAAATAAAGAAATTTTAATTCGATTTTTATTTATAGATCTATTTTGATGAACACCATGCTATTTTTTATTTTTTTATGATTTGCAGATTCGTGTTATATTTTATCTTTCATTATATTTTAAAAATATGATATACGTATAATAAATTTAAAATTATATAATTATATAAGCACTCATAAAATTTGATTCACTTTATTTTCCCACTCATATCATTGGTTCATTCCATTTTCCCACCACATTTTCGCAAGCCCTAGCTTCATCTCTGTTTGCAAATGGTAAGCCTCGATCTTTCTTCTTCTTCATAGCTCTTCCATTGTCATTGTCACATAGTGGTTCTTGTTTGCAGACACTCTCCCTAGTGGTTCTCGCTCGATATTTGTTTAGTCTTCCCCTTTCCTATAGTGGTTCTCCTTCGATAGCTCTTCCTATGTTGGTAAAATTTCCTCCCCTTTTCTTCTAGTTTCTTCTATTTTGTATTTTAACTTTTTGGTTTGAATCGACATGAGTAAATGATTGTTTGTTTGTTGAATGCATTCAATGTTGGAATACCAGAGTTTCAAAATGGAATGGGGCACTTGGTCCAGAAGGTACTTGTCACTCGCACCCTCAAACTGAAGAGGCTTGGTGTTCCTTGCAAACATGTAATCCTTATTCCTTACTTGCTTATACACTATGCATTATTACGCTTAAGTATCTACTCTGTGTGTTTTTTAGCTGATATCATTTTTTCTGTAACATACATTGTTGGGGTTATTAATTCTTGTAGATTTTTTTCTTCGTAGAAGCACTCATGAAACTCCTAATATTTTAAATTTAGGTTTTTTTATGCCTTTTATGATTTAGGGTTCAAACGCCTTCAGTAGATATGAAAGGTTGCGTTTCGGTTGGAGTAAATAATAGGGAGGAGATGAAGGTTTCGCTTGAGGGAAGTTTGGTCTTCGGTTTGCTTGAGGAGGGTTGTTGATTGAAGAGAATAGCTTCAGAGTGTGAGTAATAAAGAGAGTTATAGGCGAGACATAGGGGAATGGAATGGTGTCATCAAGTGAGTTCTTTAGGGACAAGTGGTCAAGGGCATGCGCACAAGATAATGGAAAAGCTCTTGGACACATGGATGGCATGCAATGAAGTTGTATATCAATTGCTATTCAAGGGTTGCATAATTAGGGAATGCCAAAAGGGCTTGAGGGTTTGGGAGCATAGTATATCAATTGATATACTATTAATTTATATACTATATATGCTATTCTACGAGAGCACCAAAGCACCTTGTTCCCATCGCTTATGAGGATTCATGGATTGTGCTCAATGGGTCACTTCACACTTCTATAAGAATGGCCCTGATGAGTGGCTCAATCGCCACGTTGATCTTGGGTTGGTGTTCTTCGCTGGGGACAGTGCTATGGACAAACATTGCACACCAAACATGTGTCTTCGGGTCGGAACAGAGGGGCTTCCCGGTATCAAGCTTGAAGGGATTACTTTGGTTCATTATTTCTTTTGGGCCATGGAACGAACAGAATATGAGGCAGAGAAAACTGAACACCTAGCCATGGTGGAGAATTTGTGGCTTTTTACATGCCCAACATGGAATGAAGAAAAGTGGGTGCCACTGTGTAGTTGAAGTGATGGAGGTAAAAGGAGAAGGCCAACAACGCTCTCTCCTTGCTCAAGCGTATTGTTTCCTTCACTAATCACAGTTAAGTATATGAAATGCATAGTATATCAATTGCTATTCAAGGGTTTGAGGTCATGTGTGATACTTTGGAAGTGCAATCGAAATGAAAGATTTACTGGTCATATAATGGTTGTCTAGGTGAATAAAAAAAAGATGTAATGTGTCAAGTTGAAATCCATGTGTAATAAACGGAGATAAGGGCTTGGATGCCACTTATCGGTTACTCATCAGTTGAATTGGCATTGCCTAGCCACATGTGTGTCATGCGCAAGGTAAGATGGCAAAGGGAAATGAGACATGGACAATATGTGCAAAATGAGTGGGAAAGGAGTGAGAACGTGGAAGACATGCATATGGATGATGGCTTAAGAGTTTTAGTCGTAGGTTAGAATTAATTTATGACCCTGTTAAAGTGCCAATCCCCTGCTCCAAAATCCTGGACTTTTGATTAGTATAAAGAATGATTTTTTATTTTCCTTACTTGGAATTGCTTCTCAAAATACTAGAAAAGTAAAAAATCTCAACTAGTTATTGTTTTTGTTATTAAGTAATTTATTTAGTTGTGTATTTAAATAAATATAATTAATAGTAAACCTCGTTAGTGTCAACATTCAGGTGCTGTAATGTGCAATTTAGGAGGTCAATAATTAAAGATCCAATATGACAATGTGTATCATAAGTAGTATGTGCCAATAAACTTAGCCATATGGTCGATATTTTTGGGCTGCATATGGAGGACATATTTTAGCAAGAATGGATTTGGTTTCAAGGGATACTCCATGTCATGGTCAATTTATCCTTTGGGGGAGTGGGAAGTGGGCAGAAAAGGTGGCTTAATGCTCCAAAATATAACAAGTGTGTTAACATAAATAACTTATTTTATTTATCTAAAAAATTAGTATTAGAATTGTGTGAACTTTTTAAAATACAAATAATTTAGGGTTTATATCTATACTCTCTTCAAAAAAACAGAGTATCGTACTAAATTCTAGAAGACATTTGTCTGTTTTCAAGATTGCGCTGTGCATGTGTGGATCACAAAAGCATTGAACAAGTGAAGTAAAGACTAGCTCCCTTGATCGGAAATAACCATGGCTGGCGGAGGCTTTACCACCACTGGCGGCGGCGGGAAAGATTTTGAAGCAAAAATAACTCCGATCGTGATCATTTCATGCATAATGGCTGCCACCGGAGGCCTTATGTTTGGATATGACGTCGGCGTTTCAGGTAATGGTTTCTTCTTTCATATACATAACAAGATAAAATCTTTGCATGTTTTCTTGAACTCAATGATGATCTAGATAGAACCAAAAAGCTTTCGATCTTTAATTGATTTTCTCGTAGCATTTGATGTATAAGTAGAGGCCGAATA